AAAAAAAAAAAAAAAAAAATCAGTCTCATCCTCACCCTCGCTCCATGAACCCATGCATGTGGTTTACCCAAATAAAGTAGCTTTTCAAAAAAAAAGAAGCAAAGAGTCTGATAAATGCATTGCCTTCTGCTGTATCTTCAACCACAGGACACGGTTAGATCAGGGAGGTGCAGCAATGGCGCTGCAATGACTGAAGAAGAAGCACTAGCTGAGCAACAGAGGATGTTTGCTGAGGCACGTGCAAGGATGAATGGCAGTGCTACAGTTCCCGCAAAACAGCCTGATTCAGAAGAAGCACTAGCTGAGCAACAGAGAATGTTTGCTGAGGCACATGCAGGGATGAACAGCGGTGTTACAGTTCCCTCGAAACAGCCTGATTCAGAGGCGGACCAAAACTTGACTAGTTAATTTTAGGACTTCTTTGTTTGTTCTGTAGGCAAGCACCTTTGACTCATTTCTATAAGTGGTTTCTCTTATCTTTATGTACAAAAAGCTCCTGTCCCGAGTGCTAGTTATGTGAACTCTCCTTCAATTTGTACTTGTCTCCATATATTGTGTGTAATTAATGAGCAGAATGATCTACATTCTTCAAGTGCTTTCAGTGTTTGTCGCTATGGGCGAGTCTGCTCTCTGTCACTATAAAGGCCCTTCAACTTAGCCACTGCCCCAAGGAGCAAAATGTGGTCAATATCTTTGGGGTGTGCATTTCCAGTTCCACCCAAATAAAACTAAATTGTCAAGTTGTGGGAAAGAATGGTGAATGTGATGGTTATTTAATTGGTCATTGTTGAATTAGTGATCCCATTCAGTATTGAGAAAAGAGAATACACCTCCCATGCTGTTTGATTTAGCCCCAAAATCAGTTTTTGCTTGTTGTTGAGCAGTGATTTTACACCTCAGTGAAAGAGGATAAGGAAACAGTGAATCCTAAAAGCCAACTTCAGCTTTATATCAGTGTTGCAGGTTCTTGATTGGTATCATTATGTTTCATGTCTTTTCTAGGGGTTGAGGACAGAATATGAGTGCTTGCTCGAGCTGAATCCAACATCATCACTGGCTGTCCTTTGGGTTTGGATTCAGGTTTATCACAAGCAGCAAACATGAGGCAGAACATTGTGCTGGGAGGATATCTACTGTAAACAGTGACTGATCCTTGGTTCTCTTCCTCTGTGATTTCAGTGACAACTTGCTCATTTTTCAAAAAGCCTTTTAAGTTCCTATACAGTGATGGTCTTGTCAATAATGACGTAACTACTTGTATATCTCTAAGACAAAACACTAAATCCTAAACTGGTAAAAATGGTAACTAACCTACTATTGTAGTTTAAACTACACTGATATCAAAAAGATCTTTACAACACTAATAGCAAACTAAGTGTAATCCCACAAGTGTAATTTGGGGAGGGTAATGTGTACGGAGACTCTACCCCTACCTTGTGAATGTAGTGAGGTTGCTTCCGATAAACCTTCGGCATAAGAAACAGTGATAAAAAAATTCTTGACATTGTCATAAAATTCAGATTATTCTCTGAAGAGAAAAAATAAACTGTTCAAGTCAAAGAAGAGTCAGTCAAGTTACTCCTTTTGCACCATACCCCAAAAAGAAAGTGAAATAACATATCCTGTGTCTCCCTGAGATTCCTTTCTTTATGTACAATTTTTCTCTCTGTTGCATTCTCCCCCACAACCCTATAGGACCTGTATTTCATTCCTAATTCCCATCAAAGTTGGTGGGGTAGCTTATGCTTTCCCTTTGTCAGATTCCTATATCTAAAAGTAGTAGAAGCAAAACATTAAGGAAAGAAAGTAGATTTCCCTTCAAAAGAACAAAACAGACTCTCTACACCCCTCAACTCCTATTCTCCTACACAAAAACACTTAAAAGGTTCCTAGTTTTTTTTTTCCTCCCTTTCTTAGATGAAGTCATGAAGACAATACCATCTATTTCCTGGTCCTAACGATACTGGTATTATCTGTCTGGCTACTGTTACTGATCTATTGTCTTTGTCTTTTTGTGAGCCGAGGGTCTATCGGAAACAACCTCTCTACTCCTTCAGGGTAAGGATAAGGTCTGCATACACATTACCCTTCCCAGACCCCACTTGTGGGATTTCACTGATTTTGTTGTTGTTGTTAGACGAAGACAAACATGGCTAAGAGTTTTCAAGACCTGTCCTCCAAGAGGCAGTTTCACTGGACAACCAAAATCAGCAATGAAGAAGCAGAAGTAGAAGAATATCCATCCCTAATTCCCTCTTCAAACAAAAACATAACTTCAAAAGTAATCCCTCAAGTCTCAAGGACCAACTCCAAGTCTTCATCTTTAAACACTATCCATGACAACAAGACAGATGACAAGAAGTTAAATCAAGAATCAGCTACAGCAGTTTCATCAGCATCTGTTACAACAACAAGAAGGAAACTGCAAACAATAACAGTGGCCAGGCTAAAGTCTGTCCTAATAGCAATTGGCAGAAACAGGATACACTTCCAACAAGGTCTTGGAACAAGAGTTGTAGGCACCCTTTTCGGCCACAAGCGTGGACACGTACATTTTGCATTTCAGAAAGATCCCAATTCACAACCAGCTTTCTTGATTGAGCTTGCCACTCCTGTAAGTGTACTAGTCCAAGAAATGGCATCAGGCTTGGTTAGAATTGCATTGGAATGTGACAAGGAAGAAGAAAAAAAGGTGGCAAGACTGATAGATGAGCCTAAATGGAAAACTTACTGTAATGGAAAGAATTGTGGTTATGCGACAAGACGGGAATGTGGGCCGAAAGAATTGCAGATACTTAAAGCTGTGGAGCCAATTTCAACAGGTGCTGGTGTTTTGCCAGGGAATGAAAATGGGGGTACTGACTCTGGTGAGATTATGTATATGAGGGCTAAGTTTGAGAGAGTTGTTGGCTCTAGAGATTCAGAGGCATTTTATATGATGAATCCTGATAGAAATGGAGCTCCTGAACTTAGTTTCTACTTGCTTAGAGTCTAAGCAGTCAATGGAAGATCCCAATTTTCAATGACTTAGTTTTGCTTTTCTCTTTTCTTTAAGAGAGTTAAACTGAACTATAATCCTTTCTTGATCTAACTTCCAAAGGCATGGAGGTCTAGCCACGTCCAATGTTTTTAGTATTTTTCTTCTTGTTTTGAAGAAAATGTGGTTAGAGGATGGTTTATGGTTAATGGTATACTGTATTTTTTCTCTTTTGGGTGGAATGGAATTTTGTGTTTATTGCTTTACCAAATATACTTCCCATTTCAATTGAAGAGTTTAGTTTTTATACACTAATGTAAAAAAAATTACACTAGGTCAGTTAAGTGATAATCGTCTGTAAAAGTCGGACTAGTAACATGGAAAATGAGGCAAGTTACACGAAAAAGTTATAATATACTAATTGTGGAAATATTTATAAATAAGTTATATCCACAATTGAATGGTTTGCAACATAATCAAATAAGAAAAATGCAGGATAAATAACCCTCCTTCCCTCACTTACCAGCTTGTATGAATGCTTTAGTAGTGTCATCTGTTCATTGTTTTTGTTCTCTAATGTCAGATACAATATCCTTTGGTTTCATTAATTTGTTTTTTCATCAAAAGTTGGCATTATGCTACTACTTTCTTTTCTCACATTGCTGTTCGGTAGGGGTCAAGTTGAAATTTTTGAACTAGTATTGACTTGACGCACCTCTTTTGAAATAATAAATAACATGATAATCTTATTATATTGTAAGGCTTCATAAAATTTCACCTAAAATCCGGGGTTTCGTGGTGTCGAGGTAAGCTAATATGTTTGAGGATTGTAGCAAAGCTCGCCGCGGTACGGACTTTTGGGTTGTACAGTACGCCGGGAAGTTGAAGGAAAAAGTTTGTTGAACATGGCATTTCTGCGGTCCACTATGCGACCGCAGAACCATTTTTTAGGCCGCAGATCGACCTCGGAATGAAGCAGAAATTGAGCCAAGTTTGAGGACCATTATACGGTCCATTATGCGATCGCATAATCATTTTGCGGACCACACAATCAATCGCAAATCCAACACGTAGATTTTCGGAGGAGGATTGGCCGCAGAACTAGTCTGCGGACCGCAGACCTGACCCGAGCAGCCGAGTTTTGGAGAGTGATTTTGCGGTCCCTTATGCGGACCGCACACCTGTTCTGCGACCGCAGAGTTGGAATCGGAGGGTCCATTTTCTGATTTTATAACCCGACCCTATTTCGATATATAGACGTTAAGAACCATTTGTAAAGAGAAAATATGATATTTCTAGAGAGGCGGTGCCATAGAGTGAAAGAAGTCCTTAAGCTACTTGTTCATTAATCCTTGCTCAAAAGTTGGACAATACACAAGGAAAATTCACAAATTCTTCATCCAAGAGGTAAGGTTCTATACCCTAGTTTCAATTTCGAATTTGGGGTAGAAGATGGTTAATGAGGAGTGTGATTCTTGGGGTGTGAGAGTGTTATTTATGCATGCATGTACTATCCAGGTTCTTTGAAAGGTTGTTGAGCTCAAATGGGTAAACTTTGGGTTGTGGGATGAAGGATTCCACCACAGGAGGATCTTGAAATCATAATGGCTACCTAGTGTTTAAAATGCTCAAGAGAGCTGAAACCACGAATATCTTCCTAATTTGTGTTTAATTTTGTTATATTTCCAAATAGATCGAAGTTGCTAAGATTTTTGGAACATTGTAGTAATTTAAGTAAGCTCAAAGCGAGGTATGCTGGCTAAACTTCTCTCTTAGAACTGAATCCCACAATGTTCTTGTAAGCCCAGAGTTGTTCATTATAAATTTGACTATTCCG